CCGGGACATGGAGGAGCGCCGAGGCGGCGCGCGGCCGAATCCCGAGTCCCGGGCCCGGCTGCGGAGCGGAGGAGCTCGCGGCCGGAGAGGGCAGGGAGGCGCCTCCGGTGCCGAGAGCCGGTGGAACACCCGGACACGGTCCCCGGTAGCTCCAGCCGGCGACACGCGGCCCCCACGCTCTCCCGAGGTCTGCTCCAGCCTTTTAGGTCCGATTGTCCTCACTCGCTTCCTTTCCCCCCTCCCCCTTCCCCGCGGCCTCCCCCTCCGCGCGCTCCGACTCAGCCCCCTCCCCCTCCTCCCCCCTCCCTCCCGCTTTTCCTCCCTTCCTCCAGCCGGGCTCTCCCTCCTTTCCTCCCTCCCCTCTTCCCACTCCGGGCTCCTCTCCCTCGCCCACACTTTCTTTCTCACACACGCACGCAGACACATCCTCCCTCTCTGCACTCTCTCCCTCTGTCTCCCTCGCTCCCTCTTTCTCTTTCACTTTTGCATGCCCTGCAACCTTTTAAAATGTGGCCCCTTCCCTGTGATTCGCCAGACGCTGCGCCGCTGCCCCCCGCGCGCTCGCCCGCTCCCTCTCTCGCCCGCTTTTTGTCTCTCGCGCTCCCGCTCCCCGCCTCCGATTTGCTACACTGAGGCTCCCGTCAATGGACTGCATTGAGCGCCGGCTCCAGCGCGAGTTGCCTCTCCGCTTCACGCTCGATTTCCAGGCATTCTTCCCTTATTAAGTATTCGTGTAACATTAATAGTCATGAATATCTGCTATTAGGAGGCTCCAGGAACGCTGCCCAGCGCGGTTATTAGAAGCTCAAGCGGAGCCGCCACTAAGAAAAGAGGGGAGACACGGATTAAGGAACACGCGCGCACGCATACACACACAGACACACACTTTTTCTTTTGGGGGGGCTTTTCGTTTTCTAAGGAACTTTGAATCACAACCGATCCCGGCAAGATAGAGACCGAGGGGTTCGACCTGCCGAAGGCGCCGCTCGAATCGGTGGTTCAAGTTCGGATGGACCAGAGCGGGGCTCCGGCGCTAGCGGGAGCGGCGGCGCGGTGACCGGAGTCGAGGGTGGCGCCGGACTCCCGGCGCCTTTTGTGTGGGGCGTCCGCGGGCTGCGGGGCAGCCGGGCTCTCCAGGCTTGCTTGTTTTTTTCCACCCTGACTCGGTACCCCAGACTCTTCGCAGATGTTAGTTCACAGTTTTTCAGCTATGGTGAGTCCCACCCCCACCCCACCCCCGTTTCCTTCGGAATTCTAGGCTGGAAACCTGGTGCGGCGGAGCTGCGCGAGACCTCGGGTTTCGCCACCAGGTTTCCAGCGGGGCGCCCCTTTCATCTGCATTTCCCTCTTTGCTCTTTTCCATCCTCAACTCCCCGGTCCCTGCTCCACATCTCCCGGCGCGCAGACCTACCTCGCCGCTACTCCCCGAGGCGTGTTTCTCGCCATGTTCATCTTTATTTCCTTGCGTCTTCACTTGTTCCTGAGATGTGCTCAACGTTTGATGCTAAATCCGTTTGCACCCAAAAAAACGTAGCCCCATGTGCCCCTTACCCTAGGGGCCCGGGGTGCACCTCCGAGGGTTCGCATTCCCCGGAATCAACTCTGTTCACTTGTTTTGCAAGCGAATTTCAATAGAGGAACAGAAAGTCAGGCGTTTCTTCTGCCTTTTGCGGCTGGGGGGGAAGGGTGGGGGCCTCCGCCCCGGGGTGCCCCTCTCATTAAACCCAAGAGGGCTGCGTCTATTTTAAACCTGGACTAGACGTCCCCATCCATATGGTAAATCGACGCCGGGGAGAAAGGGGCTTTTAACAGAGGGAACGGAAAAGGCAGAGTCTCCCCCCCACCCCAACCTGCAGTTAAAACCTTCTTTAAGCCGGTCATTCAAACGTGCTTCGTTATAGCCCCACTACGAAATGTCTCTATTTAAATAGTCATGAAATGCTAATAGTCTTTGAACGGGTATGATTTTTCCCTCGTATGATTTTTCCCTCCAAATAAATGGAACGAGGTGAACAACGCAGTTCAAATGGTGTGTGTGTGTGTGTGTGTGTGTGTGGCGCTTCTGCTGTTTAATATTTAGCAGGAATTTTAATTTTGCTGAAGGGAGGTTTCTCCCCGAAGCTTATGGTGCTCCATTCTGGGAGGCCCTTTTCTGTCCGGCCCGACCGTGGAAAGAAATAGCTGAGGAGAGTCTCTTACGCCCCGCACTTGCCCAGTCTCATTCCCCGCGTTTTTGGAAGGGCCGGTTTCACCTCTGGGGTATTTTCCAAAAGGAGCACCTGGGAGCTCGCTTCTGCGGCCTGCCGCCGGGCAGGGGCGCTTTCCCACGCGGCCCTGCGGAGGGGGTTCAGCCTGGACAGCCGGAGCCCGACGCCTGACTGCTTGTTCTTCGCTTTCCTCTCGCTCTCTTCCAGGACCGTCACGACGGCACCAGCAACGGGACGGCGCGGTTGCCCCAGCTGGGCACTGTAGGTCAATCTCCCTACACGAGCGCCCCGCCGCTGTCCCACACCCCCAATGCCGACTTCCAGCCCCCCTACTTCCCCCCGCCCTACCAGCCTATCTACTCCCAGTCGCAAGATCCTTACTCCCACGTCAACGACCCCTACAGCCTGAACCCCCTGCACGCCCAGCCGCAGCCGCAGCACCCGGGCTGGCCCGGCCAGAGGCAGAGCCAGGAGGCTGGGCTCCTGCACACGCACCGGGGGCTGCCCCACCAGCTGTCTGGCCTGGATCCTCGCAGGGACTACCGACGGCACGAGGACCTCCTGCACGGCCCGCACGGGCTGGGCTCCGGACTCGGAGACCTCCCGATCCACTCCTTACCTCACGCCATCGAGGACGTCCCGGTAAGAGGCCGCGCGGACGGCGCGAGAGGGAGTGCAGCCCGTCCCCCCTCCCAGAGAAGATGCCGGGGACGCACAGCCGGTGGGCCCGGGTTTTCTTCAGTGTGTTCACTTTTTCAAAATCTCATTTTATTTTTTGGGGCGGGCGCTTTCGGGACTCACATAGACAACCGAATTTAAAAAATTAAAAATAAGTTGAGTTCTGCCCCTAGAACAATGGTTCCTGGAAATCCTCCAGACAATGCCAGCATTACCATTTCCACCGACGCAAATAAATCAGATGAATGTCACAATATCTCCCCCTCGCCAAGACAGTAAACTGTTCGATTGGGAGAGGATCTAATTCCACCTCTGAGTCTGGCGCTGGGATTCCCCCTGTCCTGAAAAAGACGTTAAAATTCAACCGAAAGAGCTCATTAAATGCTCTGGCAACTCAAAAGAAAGTGTAAAAGACATACTGAAAAATTAATTTTACCGGATTTCACAAGCATTAGTGATATCTGAAAGTTATGTGTATCCCCTACCCTGATTAAGGAAGAGTTAAGTAGCAAATCTGAGCAGAGGGACATTAAAATGCAGCCTTCTTCTCTTCCTAGGGGTGCTAAGTGCTGACCTCATAAATCATTAGCTGGGTTCCAAACGCCTATCAGAACCTGCTACACCCCATATTAAATTAAATGTTCTGAAACTATTGAGCAACATTACTTGTTTTAATTCAGTTATCAATAAGTGTAGTTTAAAATGATCTCTTAATAAGCATGATATTAGCACATTTACTCTTTACAATGTAAACCAGCTATTGATAATTTGAAAATACTTTCTGAAATTAAATTTAAACCAGCATCTCTGCTTCAATTCTACATATTTATGGTTTCCTCACAACCTTCCTGAAATGGAATTAGAACAAGCCAATAATTTTATTAAAGCTGTAAAGGCTCTATTAATGCTGCTTTTCTTTGGAGAGGAAATGTATCTGGATGTGATTTTTGCTGAAATGCTATTTCAAATTACTGCATCAAATATTGCAGCAAGATGTCCGTTGACAGTTTAATGATTACTGCATTAGATTGCAAAGAAAATGGTCAGATGAACTTACCTGCTTGCTTGGTGAATTTAAAACTGGAAGTTACATAGGAAAATAGAAAATTTATTACATCTCTCATTTAGCTCAGTTAATCACTGAAATTTGTTGGTTATGTTTAGCAGCCTTGCATGGAAAGCAGAAAAGTAGGAACTTGATCCAATGTGGGGTTTAGTAAGCATTGTGTGTGTGTGTGTGTGTGTGTCTGTGTGAGTGTGTTGTATGTGTATGTGTGTTCGAACATGTGTTTAGAGGCTGATACTAAACTGTGCAGTTCTTGGGAAGGAAAATGAGAGGAGCAATAGTTGAGAAAAGCGCAATTAAAAAACAAGCCTGGAAGTTGTGATCATTTTACTTCTTCCCAAAGATTCTCTGAATCCTTTTCCTATCCTGGTCTTTAGAAATATTTGAATTGCAAAATAATGTTGCAAGCTTTTGAGACGACTGTGGATTAGAATTGCTCTACTTTGCAAAAATTCGAAAGTGGTTGGTGTGAATTCTTAACACCTGTATAGTCCCTCTTTGTGGTGAAATTGGTCAGTAGGAGAAATTAACCTAAAGATCAAATGAAAACAAGGAAACCCAGTTGCTGCTCTCCCCCTCCCTTCCCCACCTTTTAAGAAAAAAATTCTTTCAAAGGAATTTGGGTCAGGAAAAGGGTTGTTTTCAATTTTCCCATTGCTGCAACAGTTAACCTTTAATAAGAATGACTGCTAAATATTTAAGAAAATCAAATCGATGGTGAAAATTATTTAATCATTAATATCTCAGTGGGGTTTTAAACTTAACAGTCTTCCCTGTATGGACAAGGTCTAGAAATAACACAAATAAAAGTATTATGCCACACTACATTTACTTTATGAGTTTAGGGTGCATGCATAAAGGGATCATATTTCCCCATATAGTTAAAACACAAGAACTGCAGCAGTACTCATTTCTGAACATTTCTCAATTTAATTATACTTAAATCCAGAAGCACTTTAGGCAAGTTACAAATGAGAGCATTGAGTATAATAAAACCTGTAATAAAGCAACTTAGTACCATCCACCCGGAATCATTGCGATCAGGCACAATTAACAGGAGCATAAATCCAAGACAGAATGGAAAATGTTTGAATCAGTATTATTGTTGGACAAAGACTAGAGAAGGAAGTAATAGTTTTTTAAATGGTAATGCCTGTGTTTGGTAACGATTGCGAAATCTTCTATCTCAGCAGCCCTGGTGCTAATTTGTAAACACAGCCAGACATTATATTGCCTGTCAGTTTCTGCATTAGAAAACATGATTTCATTTTACTTTCTAATCACGTTTCGACTCTGGCACACACATATACCCATCCATCCGCAAAAAAAGAAACCCCCACCCCAACAAATCTGCTGTTGGACAACAGAAACAACCTCAAACGTTTTTGTGTTTGTTTTTAAAAATCATTTATGTTCCTCTCTGATATCCAATTTAGGCAGTAGTCCTTTTTTCAAAAAGATCACACAAATTATTATTTTCCCATAAGTGAGGATGTGTATCTGCATTTGCTGTTTATCACACTACCTAAAGCGTTTCCAGCACACCCCTGTCCTGCCTGTCATTTCTATTGTGTTTCCCTGGCTTTTGCTGCTGAGCCCTTGAATCACTAAAAGTCCGAAGCCACTGAGGCGCCAAAGTAATGCTAGGTGCATTTTAAAAGGTTGAGCTGATTGTGGAAAAGATTAGGTGCTCCAGAACTCGATTTTAATTTCCAAAGAAAGTTTTATTCCCAACCCCCACTTCTTTCAAACTCAAATTATTTGCTGGAGGAGGAGAAATTGGCCGTGGGTGTGCAGTGAAACCTCTTGAGTTGCAAAGCCCCAGATTCCAATAAGCCAAGATGAGATGTTTATATATAAATGTCACTCTAAGGGGGGAATTTTGATTCTACACCTTCCCCTCCCCCCATCTTGCACGGAATATTCATTTCCTTTTGTTTTGATTATACACTTACATCCATGTGTATCCTTTTGTTGCAGCATGTAGAAGACCCGGGTATTAACATCCCAGATCAAACTGTAATTAAGAAAGGTAAGCCATTTCCTTTTGCATTCCAAGCATGTCCTTACAGGCATAGTGCTATTTAAAAGAACTGGCAGAGCTGTATTTATTTTTTTCAAATACGATTTTCCTAAAGGCTCAGAATTAGCAAACAGGCATAGAACAGCAATGCTTGAATGATCGGCTTTCAGTAGGTTAGCAATGGCAACAGGCTAGCTTTGTTCTGATTCATGATTTGATTATTTAATTTAGTTTAATGATATCTGGACAAACACATAAAATGTGTAATAGTTTAACCGATTTGGAAGTGGCATTTCAATTTTGAAACGTTTTAATAGTTTGTGTGAGTGGCCAGGATTGTTAAGAAGTGATATGCTAAAACAGTGCAAATAATTTACTATTGATATAAGGGCAGATGATAAAGAGACATAGCATTCCTTAACAGAGTGAAAAAAAAAAAAAAACCTTCCATGATTTTCCACTTAATTTCTCATTAGCTCTTTAAGGGTTTTTAAACTTTGTGAATTAGGTTAACAAAAATTTGGCTTTTGGTTAAAATTAGCATCTTGAAGATGTCAGGATTGTTAGCATAATTGTTCAAAGCAAAAGTTGTTTTAAGTGTCCAGTGATTTGGATGGATCTGTAATTTGTATTGTATTTAGTGAGTAGAAATAAAGTTTACTGGATTAAATGCTATTCACAGCAGCTTTTTTGTTGTTGTTGTTGTTGTTATGGTGGCAATGTTACATTTCAGGATTCTAGGCACCACCAGAGGACGATGCTATATAAAACTGTTCTCGTTTCATTTCTAACCCCAATCAGTTTGTTAGCCAGTTTAGAGTTTCATTTTTGCATCTGTGAAGTCTTTGTCACATCAAATTAGATGTGCAAGGGATAAATCTTAAGAGATGCTCTTTCCAAGTCGACATGATAATTGGCTCTTTTATTAGTAATCTCTCAAGAGTTCGTTTAACTCCTATTGTCTCTATTAGCCTCCCCAGAGCTATTAATGTCACAAGTGATCTATCCAAAACTAGAGCCCCCCCACCTCCCCATACATCTAGAATATCCCATTAAAGAGGGAGGAGTAAGGCAATGAGAATGTTTACACATTATTATATATGTCTCCATGTGGGATTTTAAAAATACAAACGCATACGGTACTTAAATGGTTACGAATGCATCTGAATCATATTGGTGTCGAGAAATGTAACGTTAGTACACTTTCTGCTGGTCTTGAAATTTTTTTTCTAACTATGATGGGTCCGACAATGAAGAGCTAATGAATTTAGCTAGTGAGGTATCTATCCTCCCTGCCTTCCCAATGAGGACTCGTGAGCAGAACTATTTGCTCAACCAAAGTATTCCGTGGTGGGCCCGTGTAGCCTTCCTTCTAGTACAAAACGGGGCTTGGGATGGCTCTTCAAAACTCGAGTCGTTCTCAAAACTAAACATAGGAAAGGGCCTATTTCTCCAAAGGACGGGGCACGTGTTGTGTGTGTCAACAGACCACTTCCCAGCTTGGTGCTGCCTTAAAACTCAAAATGCTCATTTACAGGCTGATTTGCCATCTAAACGCTGGGCTGATTTTAATGACAGGTTTATGAAGTCATTTCCCCCCAACACTCAACCCCTCATTCCACCAAACTCCAAAGGACGCGTAGTTGGCTTGCTCTTGGTTTGCAAACGTCATCCCCGCCCCTGCACCCCAAGCCCGTGCGGGAGCACCTTGTCTAGGGCCCCCCGTCCTCGGACGCTGGCGCTCAGCGGCTCACAGCTGCACCACCATCTCCAGACAGCACCCTGACTAACAGGACAGGGTCTGGGCAGAAGCACAGGCCTGGCCGGTGGGCTGTGCGGGCACCTCCAGGCCGGGGGGGGAGGCGCGCCGAGGAGAAGTCTTGATCCCAGGACGGAGGAGGGCAGGAGGTGGGGAAGAGCCATGCAGTTTTCAGGGCTGGAAGAAAAGGGGGGCTGCCGCGCAAGCCGGGGCGCCTGCCCTGGCCGGGAGGAGAGGCGTGCCCGGCAGCTCTGGGGCGGGATCCTCGGCTCCCACACACGGCCTCCGGTCTGTCTCCGCAGGCCCCGTGTCCCTGTCCAAGTCCAACAGCAACGCCGTCTCCGCCATCCCCATTAACAAGGACAACCTCTTCGGTGGCGTCGTGAACCCCAACGAAGTCTTCTGTTCAGTTCCGGGTCGCCTCTCGCTCCTCAGCTCCACCTCGAAGTACAAGGTCACGGTGGCGGAAGTACAGCGGCGCCTCTCACCGCCCGAGTGTCTCAACGCTTCGCTGCTGGGCGGAGTGCTGCGGAGGTGAGGCCTGCGCGGCCCGACCTTCCCCGCCCGCGGACCCGGGCGGCACTGCGCCTGCGTCTGGCCGCGACGCCGACGGATCTTCGCGCTGCGGCCCTCCCATTCCCGGGACCAGGAATGGGCTGGAGAAGACGTTGTGACGACTGGGTTGAGCTAGGGGC